TGGCATGAAGGAAATTTGCTCTGTATGGGTCAAATAGGATGGGGAAGAGAGGGAGGAAAAGAATGCAGGGCAAAGAAACATGTTTTTGTCCTATCCTATCTGCAGACTCAGCTCCTCCAACTTGTAACTATTCCTCTGAAAGGCTCAGAAACACAGAATCTCTGAGTTGAAAGTGGGCTCGACTAGAAGCCATATAGTACAAGCCTGCCTAGAGAAGAAGCTTCTATCTCAGAGGTACTTCTGCCTTCCTCACAGTAGGTATTGAAAGAGTGCTTGATAAATCACTGAATCTAATAACCCAATTGCTGACTGGGGGAAAGGGTGAGCAGACCAGAGACTCTTCCCCAAACCCCTCCCCTGCTTCCAGCTGGGCTGCCTCACCTTCCCTGTGAGATGTCTCCAGCATCCCCACTGTCATGAGCACCTTGGGCTCCACATGTCTCTAATCTACCTACTAGAAGGGGGAATACTATAGGAGTATCAGCCAGAATCACACACGTTTTAGAAGGCCAAGCCTTTTCAGCCAAATACTTGTGAAGTGCATTCCAAATACAGTGATATCATTGCTGAGGGAAACTATACCATCAATCCTATCTAGACATTAGTGTTGGGGAAACAGCCAGAGGCTCAGGGAGGTCAAATGATCAGCAGGCGACAAGATGAGATTTGAATCCAGGTATCCCTGGACTCCAGCTCCAGTGCTTTATCCACTACGGCAGGATGTTACAAAATCCATTATTACAAAACTCCATTATTAAAAAAATGCAAAATGAGCAATTGAGTACTATCTATCATATCCAAATCTATTTCCTTTGCATACTTGATTCAGTTCAATAAACATTTTATTAAGTGCCTCCTCTGTGCCAATTACTGTGCTAGGCACTGTGAATACAAAAAGAAAATGAATCCTTGTCCTCAAGGAGCTTACAATCCAATTGGGAGGTGGACAAGATACAAAGCATAGATTATACCATCATAAATGTAGAGCTAGGGAAAGATCATACACACAGTCCATCTAGTCTCAATCCTATAGAGACAGTGCGGTATGATGCAGTGAAAAGAACCCTGACTCTGGAGTCTCAGGACCTGGGTTCAAATCTCATCCCTGATATTGAACTAACTCTCTTTGTGGGTGAAGATGAATCACTGGTCCTCTCTGGACCACAGGCTTCTCATCTGTAACATGAGAGTGATGGGCTTGATAACTTGTATTAGTAACAGTAGTAGGAGTAGTAGGAGTAGTAGAAGGAGAAGGAAAAGGAGGAGGAAGAGAAAGCAGTGGGTGTTAATAGTGGTGTTGGTGGTAATAGTAGTAATAGTAGTGGCAGAAGTAGCAGTAGTAGATAAAGAAGGAGGAGGAGGAGGAGGAGGAGGAGGAGGAAGAGAAGGTAGTAGTGATGGCGATGATGGTAGTGGTGTAATAGTAGCAGTAGTAAGGGTAAAGTAGTAAAGATGAGATTAAACTCAGTTTTTCTGACTCCAAATCCAGTGCTCTTTTCCCACACATGCCTCTCATAGTCTTGTGTTAACCTGATGCCAATATGCACATGCCAGACATGTTTCTCTTAATCACCTTTTAACACAGCATTTGAGTTCAGTTTCAAAGGATGGCTCCTCTACCCATACCAGAGAGGGATAAAAGAGGCAAAGAGAAGGAAGGACATTCTAGGCATAGAGAATGTCATGAGTAAAGGAGTGGAGATGGGAAAATACAGGTCATGTTTCAGGGGACAGTGAGCTGTCCAGTTTGGCTGGAGCATAGAGAAGATTCACATGAGACAAGACTGGCAAAGTAGGATAGGGATGGATTCAAGGGTCTTGAATGCCTGCGATAAACATCTGAACTAAGAAAACCTGGAGGTTTTTAATAGAAGAACAACATGATCAAATCAAGGAAGGAGGAAGATAATTCTGGCATCGAGTAAAGGAGGAATTAGAAGGGGTAGGGGTGGGGGTGAGGGAAGAGGGGACACCCAGTGCAAT